TACAGACCTTCAAGAAGGTAAACAAATCTGACTGTTTAGGTTTCAGTCAATAAGATAAAGCTGTTAAAAATGAGGTAATAAGTGAGCCAACGATACTTAAATACTCTCAAGTTTTTAAGGCTACACATGACACTTGCAGGCAGCTTCATTTATGTTTCAGTTTGCTGAGGGAAAGCACCCATTTCTCCCACCACAAGTGTTAACAATTTCAACCATTATTATAAAGTTATTGTTTTAGTAACTATTTTGAGTCCAATCATGCCAAGTGGTACTTATCTTTTGTAAAGCAAGTGAGCTGATTTGAAGAAACTGAAAACAGATGCCCTTTTAAATTCCATGAAATAAGTGGAAACAGGACTACATCTATTTCAGGTTATCATATTAACATTTCATTTATGGAATCAAAATCTCCCAGGGTGCACTCAAAATCCACATGATGTCTTGACTGCTAAAGTTTTCATGAGGATCTGTACATTAACAAATAAATAGGCAATGTAAGAATACAAATATTTGCCCACAGATGTGGCAGCTAGTAACACACAAAAAATGAGGAGACATGATCTAATCATAAGAGAAACTGAAATGGGTTTAGAAGGCTTTCAAACAACAGTAGCTAGTTCACTGCTGCACCAAAAGAAGAAAAAAAAATAGTATGAATAGTTTTCTGATGTAACTATAACTCTCTACGATATGTATGGTGGTCGAGATGATGAGGGATGATGGACAAGATGGCAATTTCCTAAAATGAATGAAAATTAACAGAATTCAAGTTACATATTATCTGTTATCAATCAAGATGATTGACCCAAGTATTTGCATTGAAGTAACTACTGCAAACTTAGCCATATTGAAATAACCAGCAATCACCTTCACATAACCATTCCTAACATTCTCACAAGCATCTCCCACAAAAAGGCTCAGCTTACTACCAATACAAGAGCACAGCATCTGAACTCTGGCTGTTGAAGCAGGGACACAAGTGCTGGTACACAAGACTTGAATCATTCAAGTCTGTCAAAAAAAGTACTGAATTGAGCAGAGGAGGAACATCCTGCCTACAACCACCATTAAGTATACAGATCACAGATTCCTGGTGCCAGAGGAAAAAAAAACAAACAAACAGAGCTTTATGCCTAGAGCACTCAAAAGACATGTCCAAAATTAAAAAAAAAAAAAAAAAAAAAAAAAGATTGTAAAGCATGGGTGTATCTAACTGTCAGAAGTACTGTAGATCAGAGACATTCCTGAACAAGGCTGAGGAACAGTAGCAATCACTGCACACAGCTTGATGGGCTTACGCAGAAAGCATGCTAGAACCATACAGTGTAAAGAAGCAAGTCCCTTTTGTTCTTCTATTGGAATTTCATGCATTCATACAAATTTCTTTTTTGTCCTCTACCACTTTCATTTCACTAAGAAAGTATTGGCTGAATACCAGTACACAGTAAGCATAAAAAAGGAAAATTTGTTTCACCATTTCTCTTATCTCATCTCCCCACTCAAAAGAGGTAACCAGATGGCAGCATGAAAACATCAAACATCATTTTTTACTTTCTAGAGAATTTATCAAATGAGAGTTCAGTTGTACAGAAGGCAATTTAGCCAATCTGTTCTTTCTGCAGTTTACACTGCTATATAGAGAAATTCTTAAGAACATCTCAATCTAACGTGCCTTCCATTTTCCTGTTCGTGCAACATATCAAAGCATCCATTTTTCATTCAGTTCCTCACTGTGCCATTTTCCCCTTTCTGCTACATTATCTTCATCGCATTCACCCACTATCTTTCCAAATTCCTATTGATTGGTTTTTATCGTTTCTCCTCCACAAACATTCTTCCTTCATTCCTTGAACTTCACTTCTCACATCCGTCCTCCCACATAAGCCTTTTTTTTCAAAAGACTTTAAAATACAGCCTTAGCTGTACCCACAATATTATGCATTTCTTCTAAGACTAAACAAGTCAATGTTCTCTGAGCTGTATTTTCTCAGTTTAACACAACTGTTTCTTATTAGGTTAGATGGACTTTCATGCATTTTACCCAGCACTCTGATTTAAAAGAAAACTAAACCATTAGCCTCAGACTTACTAACAAGTACTTGATTCAACTTTCACTAAACGTTTTGAACCACAAAATTTGCCAAATTCCATTGGCTTCAGAAGCATATAGTGGTGATAGAAAACCCTTCTTCCACAAGGTGTATCCTTGCAGCCATGGCTCACCCTCCATCTGCATTCTATTGCATTTTACTTTGCAATTGACCCACAGAATGGCAAGGGTTGGAAGGGACCTCAAGGATATGAATCTCCAACCCCCTCCGTCACATGCAGGGCCACCAACCTCCACATTCAATACTAGACTAGGGCCCCATCCAACCTGTCCTTGAATGACTGGTGACAAACACATGTGGCCTTATACCTCTGGAGATTGCACTAAGCTTTTGGGTCTGTTTGATTTGGTTTGTTTTCTTTCTCCCTTTTGTTCTTCCAATCTTTCACCACAGCTGTCTTTCCTCTTCTAACACCACAGAAGTGCACTCGCTCACTGCAGCCCTTCCAATCTCACAAGCTTGCTGTGACACTCCAATTCTCATCCCATTTATATGCACACTAGGAATAGCAAGAGGCTGCTAAAAGAACAACCAAGCTTTTCTCCGTTCTGTTATATAGCCTGGCATTGTTGAGATTGCTTTAAAGAATGCTCCTACCTCGAGACTGTAAGCCACAATGAAGCTGAGCCATCTAATTTTTTTGCAGTTCTGGTAAACAGACAGAAGTAATGTTGAACTGAGTTTTTGAACACTCAGTAATGATTCCAGTTGGGATCAGGAGCAAGTCACCAATTAAATACCAGTGTTCTTCAGAAAGAAACCAGTCTGTACAAGTATAAGTAGTAAGTAATGCTGATAATCAGTGAGGCTGCTGAAGTATGAGCTGAGTAACACCTCACCTCCTTTCTGATTTTCATTATGTCATAAAGCTGCACTTTTGCATTTCTGAGGAAAGTGACAGTGCAGCTGAGAGAAAGTGAAAGTGCCACATAGCACAGAAATAGCGAGGTATAATGTGTATCTAATAGCATGAGAGGAAATGGCAGTTAAGTAACAGCAGCCTCTGCTAGGAAGAAAGTCACAGAATGCCTCCTGCACTAAAAGTTCAAAGAGATGTTCAGAAAGTGCACTTGAATCACAGAGAAGAATCGTAGCAACGAAAGCCAGTCTTAAATTCACCACGGATTTCTGGTAAAATCTCAACTTTTTCCTTTCCATAAGAAAGTTTTCAGCTGACATCCACAAATGCAAAATAACCCTTAAGGACTGACATGACTGTTGTGAATGAGATCACTTGAAGATTCTTTCAGTTTAAAACCCAGGAGTCAAGTCTCACATCATGTATCAAAATGCTCCTCTAATCTTTCTAATACATTCTTCCATCTTAGGCTTTACAAATGAGCTGAGAGCAGTCTTAGAGTGTATGTGCCTGAACAGCCTTTAAGTTGACAATCTTGCATAGCCACAACAGAAAGAACTGTTTTCTGCATCAGTGAGTATCCTCAGATACAGGGTGCACTACTAGTGTTAAAAAAATAATCTGATATTCTACCTACCCAGAGAGGAAACATATAGGAAATAAAAATATATTAAAAACTTCTACATTAAAAACCACTGTCCAATCATTCTCTCTATCACATAACTACCTTATAAATATCTACCTATTAAAAAAAACCCAAACAATAGATTTCAATAATTTGTTTTTGATTATAAGAACAGGAGCTTTATCTATCCATTTCCGCCACAACTGACTTCATCAGAAACTGAACTAAAATCATTACTGTAATTTATCAAGCATTCCCTGTTCTTCAAAAACAAAGCCATCGCACATAAACGACGCAGCTTGTCATCTATGTAGCTTGAGGGTTTCTCATGCATTCAAATTTTCCACCTCACAGCATTAAATTTAATTATGTAACAATGAACTTCTGTCCTTAAATAACTTATTGGCCTGAAACTGCTGGAGCTATCTGCTACAATACAATTTTACAAATGCTTTTTAAAAGACAAAATATGTCACGTAACAGTATCGGACTTCAAAATACAAAGATCTTGAATTCTGCCACATTAATTAGCACAGAAAAGAGGGAGAATCTTTGCAGAAAGCTGTGCTTGTTGATGACAGCACAAGCCACTGGGAACAGTAACCCCACATACTGTTCAGACAAAATTTTGCATCATTTCCCTTATTTTTCAAATTTTGTACATACCGTACCCTAAACAAGAAAAAAAGCAGATTGCTTTCTGAAAACCTCTACATTTAAGTTTCATATTTAATTTTCCTTTTAAAAAAATGAACAAAACCTCAACAAACAAAATCTGTTTGTGGGGAAAAGAAAACGTAGAAAAGTAAAATAAAAATAATTAAAAAAAAAAAAAAAAAAAAAGACAACACTTAAAAGCAAAAGCAAGCATAAGCTTTTACTACCCCCGACTGACTTTTCATAGTGATAGAGACTTAAAGAAAATAAATAAATTATGTTACATTTCAATTACATTTGAACATGTATATCCATTAGGGGAAAACCATGACCTTACAGAAATCAGAGTAGAGTAAGTAAACTTGTTTTTTCAAATCTAATCAAAACGTCCTGTGTTTCACTTACATTATCACATCAATGTCAGCACACATCAAAAAAGCAAAGCCTCTATCTACAGTTCTCAATAATAAGTTGTTAACTTGAAACAACACTGACCTCTGATTACATATAAAAGGCTTGATTTGCCTTTGTGCTGCCATGCAACCAGAAAAATTAGCAAACATGCTGTTTTTAAAGATGTGAATATTAAAAGTTCCTTCCGTATTAACTGCTTAATGTGATAAAATTCATTTAAATTACTCTAATCTTCTGCTAGGAAAAGGCTTTTGAAATCTCAGTTATCAAAAATTTGTTCTACATCATTAATTGCCTTAATGAAGAAAGAGAATACTGTCATTATGACACTTACCCAATCATAGCGTTTTCTTTAATTTGGCCCTCTGTGCCATTTACCATAGGTTCTTGATTTCTGTTTTCCTTCTCTGAAGCATCACTTGAGAGGCCCAATAAAGCTCGTACTTGTTTTGACTTCACATCCAATATTGTGTCAGTGTAACCCACTTCTTGTAGATATCTGTAGGAACAGAATTCATGTTAATTCTTCATGCACATCTTACTCATTCCAAACAATAAATGAAAACTTCTCCCTAAACTCATCTTCTGCATCTTAGCTTAGCAAAGTGTGGTGCTGTGCTAATGAAACACGCTTATAAATCATCCTGTACCAGCTGCAGAGGGATCGTCTCTTGCTGTACCAGCCTCTACAGTCACTGAGGAAAAAAATCAAAGAGCCTAGCAGTCAGAGGTTATACAATACGTTATTCATTCATTTACTAAAATGGATGGAAAAGCACTTTCAATTAAAATATTTACAATTGGCTTATAAAAATCACCACAGTTGCATGTACAATATAGCCATTTTATTCCTCAACACATGGAAACTACACATGAAGCCTTACAAGAAGTGGGAGACATGTTCCTACAAGAATCATTAGAATCCTATGAAAACAGAAGGAATAAAACCAAATTCTGTAGCTATAGCTACTAGTAAGAATGGTTATTTATAATGCAGTAGTTTTGATAAAATCTGTGCCTTGTCTTTCTCACTCTGCAATTTATCTGCAAAATATTAATTTGTCAGGCATGTAAGGACTGGGCAGCAAAAAATCTTGGACATTTTGTATGAAAATATCAAGGTCTAAAGTAGGCACTTCCATCAATGCACAGAATTACCTTTGGAAAGATCTGTCTCTGTTCCTTCCTCTACAAAACAAAGTTAATAATGCTATCTCCTCAGGAATACTGAACTAATTAAATAGTCAATAATCTGGGTGACTCTGAAGAGCAGAAATGCTATTTTACAATAAGAGCTGTCACAAATCAAGGACATGCACTTTTCCAACAAAAATATCTTCCTCCAGTTATTTAATGATATCTTCTACATAAATACATCTGCAGAGGAATACTGCCTGATGGCTATATGAAAATCAAACCAGACATCTATGCAAAAGAGAGTCTGTCAGTAGTGAACTCTATTCGGCAACGTACAACCTATGAATTACACTGGGAGGGAAGGACTTGCCTTGAAATCACTCCAAGTCACTTGAAATCACTTGAAATCAATCCAAGTCAAGATTACTTTAATTATGTTTACGCAACTTAAATGAAGAGATATGGGTTCTTGAAAAAAAAAAATAGAAAAAAGTAAAAGCCACCCAATAGACAAACTGGACAATTTTAACTTTTGTACAATTCACTGGAAAGAGGCCCATTCCAATAAGCCCTAGGAAGTTTTTACCATCTCCCTCCCCTCTCATGTAATCCTTGGTAACACAAAAAAACCCACTAGATATCAAAAATTCTGCTAATTGGTTGAAGATCATAGAATCCAGCTTTCAGCTTAGAAAAATGAAGCTTACACATGGAAAAACATGCTCAGGGTGACCCTGATAACAGGTCTTGTAAGAGACCCCTGTGTAAATTGAGGGCTGTAATCAAGGCACACACACACACAAAAAAAACAAACAACCAAATACTTACCACCAAAGAAATACAATCAAATACTCTGGAACTGGATAACTCATTAGGAGCAGAATTCAAAAGCTGACGTAAATTAACAGATATTTGCTTCATTAAGATGAATCAAGAATTAGAAAGCTTTTAGTCAAAACTTCCTAATGATTTCTATACATAAAGTAGACCAAAACAAATTATATCCCTCTGCAACCCAGGCTGGAGATTTATTTTAGATAGCTCTTAACAGAGTTGTATTTTCTTTTTTAATTGAAAAAATAAAAAGTAAGGTGTCATGAGCCACTGTACTCCCAAGCAGACTGTTTTATTATACTCAGTAAAAGAAAAGCAGAGGAGATTGTTTGATTTCATAAGGTTCCCCACCTGAAGTTCTGAAATATTAAAATTTTTCAGAAGCTTAGTAAAGTAGGGCAGAAGATGAATGAATTTCAACGTACTAACTTTTCTTGAAAGAAAATCTAACAGAAAAATCAAATACCACTATCATCATATTTCATTAACAGATACTCTTTCTTGCACTCTTTATTCAAGTTCTTTTCTCAACACTTACTGTCTTAGCAGCTGTCGTCCTTGTTTCCATATTAGCTGACTATTTTGTTGTGGCTGAATCTCTGTTTCATTCCCTTCATCTGGAAAAGATTATTTAATTAAAAACAGCTTTCTTTGTATGACATTTAAAAAATATTCCCCTCCACTTGACAAGTGTAATTTGTATTAAAAGTATTAGGAAAGATTGGATAACAACACAAAAATTCCAAGCACCAAAAATCAATCAAGAAAGAAGAGCTATGTTCTGTATCAATTTTTTTCTATTACTGACACATAAAAAATACAGATAATCAACTATATACTTTACTACATGAGATCAAGTTCCCCTAGTCATCAGTATTTTTTTCCCTCGGGTCTCACATCCAAGAGACCCATCTTTCTCCTTTTTCCTCAAAGGGAACACAATTACATAAACAATTTGGAGTTCCAATTTAATTACTGCTCATAATTCAAGTTTCAATACAAATAGCTTTAACTGCTAACAATATCAAATGGAACCGTAATAGGACAATGGGAGAATGGTTTTAAAATAAGACAGGGGAGGTTTAGGTTAGATGTTAGGAGGATGTTTTTCACACAGAGGGTGGTGATGCACTGGAACAAGTTGCCCAGGGAGGCTGTGGATGCCCCATCTCTGGAGGCATTCAAGGCCAGGCTGGATGTGGCTCTGGGCAGCCTGGTCTGGTAGCTGGTGACCCTGCACACAGCAGGGGGCTATAACTAGGTGATCTTTGAGGCTCTTTTCAGCCTAGGCCATTCTATGACTCTAGAATTCTATCTGCAGTATCATTTCCATCTATAACATACCAGTAAACAAATTTCCTTAATATTTGACCATACCCATCAAAACTACTCACACCAACTTTAAACTCATCTGTATTTACATTATTGTTATGGAAGAAGAAAAAGAAAAAAAAAGCTTTATTTATTAATCTAAGAAGCTGTTGAAAATTTTCCATGTTTTCCACAATCATTAATCAGAACTCAAACAGCACTACTCTGGGAAAATCCACAGAAAAATTATATGGCTGTTCTGGTGAGAAACCTACCTGAATGCTGGCAACTAATAGCTACATATTTTTCCATACAAAGCTTCATAGTACTTTTTTCCCCCCTCCTTCAGGAAATAAAAAAGCATACGCTCCTAAGATAAAAAATATCTTGGCTTATTAGCTACAAAAAGCTGTACAAAAAGAACTTGAAGCCATTCTGGTAAAAACACCGAAGGATGAACAAAATCTTCTTTGCATAAACAAAAATTAAGAACCAGAAAAGCTTGTGGTATAACCCTATGAACAATTTGATAAGTGATACGGGAAAGTTACTGAACATACCGGGAAGTCATTCCTCTTTAAACAACTGAATTGAAAAAAAAAAAACCACAACAAAAACACCAATACATCCTCTAACAAAGAAGCTACCAAAGATTCATCAGAATTCACACATACGTTGGAACTACATGATCCTTGAGGTCCCTTCCAACCTGGGTGATTCTGTGATTCTGTGATTCTGTGATAAGGGGACCTATATCCATTTTATCTATCTCAATATTCACAAACCCATTTAATAGCAACCATGGAAAATCACCTCTTGCACAATGATTTCCTGACAACTACTGAACACAGCTGGATGCAATACACAACTACCAAAGCTCACTCTATGTAAGAGTTAATATATAATGGAGATAAATCTGCCTAAAAATTACTTGAAAGTGAAAACCCTTCTTCTGAAGGCATTGTTAAGCACAGCTGGAGTCAAGAACTCTCTTTTTCTGAGCCTCTGAACAAATGATTGATGGCAGTATTGGTGGTTTATGGATGAGTACTGAAGGGACTTTATTAAGTCTATTCCCACTGCTTCTTCTGAGTGACATATTTCATCAACCGTCATTTCAGCATTTGTAAAAGCCATAGTAGAGCTTTTATGTCAGTAATGAACTCATTCTTAATAAATTCTTACCAGAATCATAGTTCGGTGGCTTCATATCTCCCTGATTCAATTCTGTGCCGTATTTCAATTTGTGATATTTAGCCCTGAAAAGAGATGGGAAAAAACAAAACAAAACAAAAACTCTTAAAGGGTACAAATAGACACATAAATATTGTCTGTCCTCATTATAAAAACCACTTCATCTTTCTAGGACAGGTACAAAACAAAACAATGAAATTCAGCGCATTATTTTGCCTAATTAATTTTTTCAAGCTTCCCTGTTTGCGGATATGTGCTTGCTTCTCCTGCCCCTCCGCTTCCGTGTTAAAAAAGAAAATCAACTATCAAACTTCTTCTATCCCCAGAACGTCAGTTCAGTGCCATTTACTTCATACTTCACTTCACCACCTCAATAAAACAAATTTTTTCTTCAAGCTTTTCTCACTAAGGACCACTCAGATTCTACTGCTGATGGCAGCCCAGCTTCTCATGCAACTGCTAGACCTGACGCTTAATTGAGTTCAAAAACTCAGAGTCCTCTTCCAAAAATACTTAGTCTATAGAAGGCCTATTGTGATAAGCTCCACAAAGAATGCCATGTGACCATAAGAGTAGCTAGAAGACAAAAAGCCTCATCTGACAGATTCAGTGTTCATAGACTTTTAAACATACACATTACAAATAATTTCACAGTAGTATAACATTACAAATCTATATGGAAGTTATTTAATAAGGATTTATCACAATAGATAAAACCTGACAACACAGTAACTAAGGCAACACTGAGAGCAAAGACAGCCTTACCCAGTGTCACTATCATTTCCCCCTTCTCTTATACCCACTGTAACTCTTGTCTCAATAAGTGGTTTCAACAAGTACAAAAACTTAGAAGATTCAAACCCAACTGATTCCCTATGAAGTTTTGTAGCCATTCCTAACTGGGTGGAGAAGCAGCACTTGCACTTGTTCCTATCATAAATCAAAGGCAAGAGAGAACTCAAGCAAGATTCAAGATTCAGCCTGGCAACAGTGGGAATACCAACCTGCATGCATATGGGCAGGCACAGCACCAGTGCAAACGCACTGAGCTGGGTGTAAGGCAAGATATAGGCAAAAAAAGACAAAAAGATGAAAAAAAAACCAAACCACTTATGCATATCAACAATAAGACAGGCTTCACTGGCTTCACTACTTGCAAAGGAACTCTTCCATTTGAAATGATTTTAAAGAAAATAATGTGCTACACCTCATAACTGCACCAGGCAACTGCCACTAGCAAACTCATTACTTCTAATAAAATAATGCTAATGGAAGTGATGTTTGGTAGTTCTTACGCCTCAGTATTGACAGTACACATTTCCTAACAATTTGGCCTTTTTTTAGTGATAATAAACATTTAATTCTGTGTGAGCAACATGAGTGCAGAGAGATGATGCCTCTTAAGAGTATGCAGCAACTAAGACAGATGAAGGAATTCACATCCCTCTCTCAAGCTAGAGCATTAAGTTCTACCTCAGCTAAGCAGCAATCACTGAGGAAAGAGGAGGGAATGTATTCGAAAGGTATGAACAGAAAAAAGTGAAAGAAAAACATTTTGATAGGTACAAAGAAGAATATCCAAGAATAAAACAAAATTAAAGCTGAATGCCCATCTGAAATACTTAATTCTCAAAGTATGTTTTCTACACGTCACAAGCAGAGAGATGTTTCCCCAGTTAGACAAACCCACGTAAGTACTGTTAAATACTGATACTGTGCACATTTTTTCACTCCACCACCATTAATGAAAAGTAACGACTGAGAACAAATCCTCTAGTCTGACACTAACCTACCTCAGCAACAATAAACATCCCATTAAAAAAAAACAAAAAAACACTTAAAGCTTTTATGCAGTCAGCAATTCAAGTGATCTTAATGTTTAATTTATTTTTACTTGACTTTTGAAAAGCAAATATTAACACTTCACTTAAATCTGGATTAGTGACATATATGTATATATACACAGTACTCCACAATATTTCAGAGAGCAGTTGGTTTTGTGGCATAGGGTACTTGCTTTTAGTTCATACACCTTATATAAATTCCTATTCTCTTCAAAGCATTCACCAGTTTTCTAGTCTAAGTTTTGTTAATTTTCTCCCTAAGAACTAAATACAATGATTATTATGTTAAGAGAAAAGATTATTCCCTTTACCCATCTTATGTCCAAAACCTACCTTTCAAAAATTCAATCTGTACTTTTTAATACTTCTCAGTGTATTTGGTACCAACATTAAGACTCTGTATATTCACAGTTTGTTTATTTTTACAGTTCTTAGAGGGTTTTCCTTCTTTAAACAAACAGTAGCATTTTCTGACTTTTTTTCTAATTGAAATTTTCCCCCTCATTAAATGCATGATAAAATCAGTTCAGCATAGTAAGATTCTTCATTCTGCTCACATTCTAATCTATTAGTAACAGAGTTGGGTTTTTTTTGATTGCTTGGTTGTTTTTAAATCAGTTCCTCCTTGTAATGCAACAGTTTTTGAAGCCTTTATTGCTCTTTCTTAAAACAAGAGGATAACCCAGATTGCATGATCTGGTACACCATAGGTCCTTAAATTTATTTCATTACTAAGCTGGACTAAGACTTCATCTACCAGAAGATTTAAATGCATCACAGGCAGAGACCAGTGAAAATATAGATGCAACAAAAGCACAATGCCCTGAAAAGACAGCTGACAAGCAGAAAAAGCAATAGACATTTACTGGTATGAAATGAAATCCCAACGCAAAACTGAATTAATTACAATGAATTAGTATAAACTCAGATTGCTGAGCAAGACAAAACCATTGAGATATAAAAAAAATGTGAATACAGTGACAGAGCATTTGACCTGGTAAACCCACCTTCAGCTATGGTTAACTTCCAGTTTAAAGGAAGGGGGAGGGTAAGGTAGCTAGCTGTCCACTGGGAAAAAAAAAATAACTCACTCTAGCAGGAAGTGGAAGATTTATTATTAGTAACATCCTCATGGTACAGCTGAAAATGTCACAAGGATGAAAGTCTCCTTCTTTCTAAAGTATACTAAGGAAAAGACTGAACACAAGGATTAAGAATCCAAGTCTTAGAAGGGGAAGTCTTGATCAGCCACTGCCGCATATTGAAAACAAAAGGCATGAAAGGTCTCACAAAATAAATCTTAATTATTGTCTTTCCACATTCTTCGTATGACTTACCTCTTACCATGTTTATATTTCTCTGTTCCTTCAAGTAACATATCTCCTGCCCACCAGATATGTTTAATTACTCCATTTCCTCAGAAAGCACATATTCTAGTTATTAGCTGCTTGAAATTGTCCCTCTAGCACTCTTGCTGAACTGTAGTTCACACAGCACAGTAGTGAGATGCTACTGCCACAAAAGAGAGCAAATACAGTATTTCTTCTAGAAATTTGAAAACAGAAAAAACAAAATTCCTCCAAACTTGGCTTCATCTGCTTAAAAATACTGAGGTAGCCTTGGGATTTGGCACTCACAAAGTTGAGAGCCTAGCACTGTTATCTGAAACATGACCAACATGGGTGGCTTAACTGTTATCTGAAAATTGAAAGTTGTCTGAAGAATGCAGTTTTGGGGCCATAAAACTATTTCAGCAGATAGATAGCCTTACTCAGCTAAGTATGTATATTACTACTGCTCTGGCTTTTGCACTTCATTATACATCTTTTTATTACTATTGCTATTATCATTTTCTTTAAACTGTTTCTTCTATACAAACAGTGCTTGGATGCATTAAACATCGCTGCCACAACACTTTAAGAGGTGCTCAGAAAAACGCTAAAGGCATTCATCCTTCAAACTCTCCTAAAATTGAGAGCAGTTAAACTTTTCTGAATGCTTCATATAGAAAAGCTTGATTCCAATCAAAAAAAGCCACTATTTCTTGGAAATATCTGTCACTGGACCTGAAGCATCTGATCCAGCTGTGCTGAGGGAGCCTGCCAAAACATCCGTAGAAGATCTAGGAGTCGTCGCCAAACCAAGAGACATAAACAAGAAAGACTGCCAGGAACAGCAATGTAAGATGCTCTATCCAGGGGTGAGGGCGCCAGCCTCACTCTGATCAGGCACATTAGTGCAGAAAACAACATAAAATTAAATCAAGTATTTCTAGAGACATGGCTCAAGAGTCAGGTTCTCTGGATGGGATATGTTGAGACAGGAAACGACCTAGACTAATTTACTAAATTAGACACACACTTGAGAGAAATAGTACTACATTTTGTTTAGCTCCTGAAAATCCAAAGGAAATAATGCCATTTATTGATGGAGCAACTATCAATAGAGCAATAAAAAAATAACACTCAAGGACAAACTGCCCCACAGTGAATATCTACAGGATGTTGGCAAACCTACACCAGAACTGCTGCTGAAAAAATGGTAGTGATTAACTCTTCCTAAGTTCTTTTCTCCTTACTGTATTGACTCTTCAGCAGAAACAACTTGATTACATACACAAACAACAAAAAGGTAGTTACCACTACTGATATAATGACCAAAACAAAATTTGTCAGAAAAAAACATGCTATTACATAAACATTATTTTCTACCTTCTTCAATACAAAATCAGGTAAATGCCAAGAAACAGAACACTGCTTCTGAAATTTATTATTTAAAACTGATTGGAAAAAATTCTGAAGATCCACTCTGCAAAAGAGCAGCTCATAACATCTCATACCTGAGAAGACCCATGTCAACCATTTCTTATTTTGGGAACACTGCGAGCACAAACTACTGTGGATCAAGATTTAATATTCCGTTCAATTACTAATAATCTATTTAATCTCATTAAGATTGGTACACCGCAAGGCCAGGGCTGAAATGGAAGAATGCAGGTAAGTCTTCTTTTCCTCTCCCAGCAGCACCAGCTTTGTTCTAACTTATCAAAAATGTTTTCCTCCTACCTTCCAGGATCTCACTTTCAGCTCTGAGATCCCTGTATAAACAGCCAGCATCCAACCTGACTACTGGCAGACGGAGTACATGGGTGGTTTAGGGAAGTGTTGGGAAAGAGAATAATGTTTTCAAGCCCAGTGTGTTGCCATTCCTTTAAGCATCAAGCAAGAACACTTGCTGGGAGACATTTCTAGCAGCAATAGAAAACATTTTCTTCAGTAACTGGCAAATAATACTTCTGTTTAAAACAACAAACTGTTATAAATAGCCATCTCAAGCACACACCACACACAAATACCACATTTAATAACTATTGTATACGCATACAGAAAATGTCAGACTGGATCAGATCAGCTGCCTGTGTGGCTTACTGACCTTAGCAATTGAGGCTAATACTACATATGGGGAGGGAAGGGAGAGGAAACAAAACAACAATGCAAAAAAAAAAAATTAAGATAAAAGATAACATATGTAAAAACTGCCAACAAAAAACTGTCTGGGTATTTTCCTAATTCTGACACTGTATGCTGCATTAGCATTTAAATACCAAATGAAATTTAAGTGGCTCTTACCAAACAACCAGTGGACGTTTTCATTATAGATACGGAAGGATTTTTTGTTTGGGTTTGGTTCTATTTTTTTCTTAAAAAACTTATATCATAGTTTATTGAAATAGATTTATGTCGCCTGATCATTTGGGATAAATTGCTAATTCAACTTGACTACGAAAATGTTAGAGAGATCCCCAAGTAACCAGGAATATAATTTTAATTTTGAAATACAATAAGTCTTACCAATTTTATTCCTTAGAGCATAAGGAATAACTGCACAAAAATGTACTCCACTGCCTCCCTGTCTTCTTTTAAAGTGACTCTAATCTTTAAAATCATGCTTCAAGCACAAGCCTTTCTGTGGCTAATACATCTCCACTAAGCAGAAATCTGATATTTTCCTATGCTATCTGATTTAAGATCAATCAGGCAAGAAGGCCTGGGCAAAAAGGATATCTACCTTAACTGCTTCTCTGATAACTGTCTGAAGAAGCAGCAAATATGCTGCAGCCCTGGGGCTGCAGCCTCGTGCTAGCAAATAAACTGGACAATGTAAGGCATATCTCATGTGCCCAAGCAGCCCAAGTAAGATGAGAAATTCTAAAAATAAAGCTTCTAATAGTTGTGCATCATTGTGTTTTTTTATTTTCAAGCAGTATCCTATTCTCACATGCAAATGTATATATTTCTACTAATATAAACTGTTTAGAGTTCATTTTATTAATATTTTATGAAAGAAAAGTAGGAATTATCTGATAGGGAAATAGTATTTAAGCAACAATTGGTAGAAGCATTAGTATTAGTAGAAGTATGCTTTTCCTTTAAGTATTTTAAAAGACATCTTACCAGTAAAAATAAATAAATAAATAAAAGTAACTTAACTTGCCCTGAAATAAATCACTAGAGAAGAGACCTCTGAAAACACAGTAAAAATAATCTGTGTGCCTCAAAGTTTAGAACTACAGGAGAGTGTGTGCAGAGTAAAACACTGAAGTAGTAGACAGGAGAATTCTAATGAAATTCCCATGAACAAAGAAATAGGTATTTGATTAACTGGTAAATACAAACATTTTTTCGTTCACAGTAAATCTCTCCCACTTTGGGCAATGTTATCTGTCATCACGTACTCAGTGCTAAACCAACGTACCTTTCTTGTTTAAGTGCATATTCCAGCATTTTGATTCTCCGCACTAGGTCCTTCTTCAGATTTTCTTGCCCCTTCCTTTCACCTTGAAGAAAAGCGATCTGGGCCTGCAAAGAAAATATTCAATGTAGACTGTTTCTTTAAAACCATTCTGAAGAGCTCAATTCTTCCTCCCGCCTCAAGTTACTTTGGAATTGATTTGTACAGGCCAAAAGAATCTGGCTTAGTGTTTCACAAACATTAAATGCTTAAACTAAGCATTGCATAGATAACCCTTCTAAACTGCACTCCCATTTCATACAAAAAAAAAAACTCACAAAGATAAGAAATAAATTTTAGCTTGTTTGACAGGGTTTATTTACTCCCGTAGCTAAACATTCAATCAAAGATAAAGAATATATAAAATCAACATACAAAAAGCCTTCACCAGATGAAAGCATTTGCCAATGATAAGCAGATGTTAAAATATTTCTCCTTACTATCTGAAGTAGTATATAATTAGTGCACTGTTATGCAGATACACGTTAGATATGTGATACTAGTCAAGAGAACTAAAATACAGCATGTCCTGCTAAAAGAAAAATAAAACTCTGTTTCTAACACAGTGCCATGTGTTAATTATAATACTAAAACAGGTTAAAGAAAGCTCTCCAGAAGTACTTCAACAGAGAGAAAAATAGGAAAGAGAGCAAGATATTTTGGTGAGAGGGAAGGGGAAAGATATGGCATAAAAGTAAAGAGAAGTGGAAAACAGGCACCTAACCTTTGTCAGTTTTCAGCAGACAGTACTTAGTAACCCATGAAAACCTCTTTTCAATAGGCAATGATGATACACATAGGATAGTCTTTCTTAATCATAAAGGCAGAATCTGATCCCATACTTCATGTTTAAGTCAAGTCATTATAAAACACAGGTTCTTGTGCTCTCTCAACTCACAAAGCACACTTCAGACAGAAACACCTCTGGACAGCCACCACTTTGTACCTCAGCCTCACCCGTTCTTCAAGTTGCCTGCCACTTTCAGTGTCAGCAGCAACCTCTGCAGCAAAGTCATAGATGTATGTCCTGAAAAGCTTGAACAGCATAAAAGGCAACTGGTCAAGACCTCCAGCTGTTGAATATGATGACTAACAAGCTCTTCTTTTCCACAGATACTCACTATAAGCAAGCCAACCTGTTCTTTGCACGTATTGCAGTCTGCATCAGTGTCGCAGGGGAAGTTTGGGAGAAACAGAACTACCCCGTCCTCCTTACAGTTTTGAAAGCAGTCCTCAGATACTGTAATTAAATGAGACTTAAACTGCTGCTAAAGAATAACTTATCTGACTTCAGGTTTTTATTGCATTTGCTGGTGATCAGCTACAGCAACTGACACAACTTCACAGCTCAAATAGAGCCAGTAAATAGCATCACAAGCACCTGAAGAAGCCTTAGTACCAATCCCCAACTACAGCAGCCAGTTTACAACATGCGACAAACGCTGGCTAATCTCTCCAAAGAGCTCAGTCTTCATCTTCACCAGGGAAAATGTACTCAACTCCCCCAAAATCCTCAGCTGGATCAAAAGGAGGGCCCCATCACTCTGGCAGCAAGCTTGTTCTCACTCAGCATTTAACCTGAACTGAGCAAAAAGCCAGAATTAAATATAATGCTCCTTGTACGCTCAGTGCCAGGTGAGTCACAGTGCTGCTCAGGAGCCATCATTGTCTACTCTGAAAATTTTAACTCTGCAAGGAGCATTTCAGCTCCATCCCTCTTAGCAACATCTCAAGCATGCACAACTTGGTTTGCAATAGCTGTACAGCCCCCCAGGTTACAAGGCACAGACTGATGCACCCCAATAGTAATTTCCATCAACCTGCTTCTAAACACACCCAACAGAAACATGCAAGTGCCATTCCAAGCAAGTGAGATGACATCAAAGCATACTATTCACTAAAAGGAAAGGAGTACATTATGTAAATATACACTTGGATGGAATGAAAAGGATTGCCCAGTGGCACCAGGACACGTGCTGTAAGGACCTATGGCTACCTGCAGGCATTTCCAGCACAGGAAGAACAAAGCTGTGTGCCTAGAGGATGGACAGCAACAGCCACCCCGGCAAGGCCCACATTTTACACATCAAGAAAAGGCCCTGGAAAAAATGTAATTGATTCTTTGAACTTCTTTTGCTGCGAGAGGTATGTCAGTGCTGTCACTCATGTCTCATAACTTCTCTTGGAGGTCTAAGAACACGAAATACATGTGGTTCTCACTTGGAAAGCAGGCAGCAATAACAACAGGCTGGAGTCAGAGGCCCATGAGCTGCCTTTGCACCCTGCACAGGCTTACAGCCAGAATCTTCCACAGTCACTATACTCAGGTCAGTCATTTTATTGTCAAATCAAGAAATGCAGGAGTGCACAAGAAGGTGTGGGAACAACCTGTGCCCTCTCTGAGCCTTGCAGCACAGCTGTGGAGTTTTTTTGAAGCATTACTTTTGACATTCTGACTCCTAAAATGAGATACTTTCATTTCATGTCATTTTCATAGCTCCAAAAGTAAGGACAGTTTTCCCCCTTCTTTCTCACAGACATTAGTAATCTTTATTCCTCATTTATATGCATATAGGATAATTATAGTCAAGTCATTCTTAAATCATTATTTACATGCATTAGCTCAAATTTTTATGTCACTAAGACGTTAAGAAACTTCAAAGTTAAGAAATTCTTCATGATAATATTAAGGCAAAGATGAGGACATGAGGACAGACAGCATAAAAAATAGAAACTGATATATTATGCATAATACTGCAGCAGTCCACATGTAGACTTCTTTCTCTACAGTCATAATTAACTGAAAGCGTGCAGAGGGAACATAAACGTTCATATCATACATGAAACAATTTGTAATATAAATGAATATTAGTTAATTATTCATATATATATATTTATATATATATATCACACAATCACAGAATTATAGGGGCAGAAAGGGACCTCTAGAGATCAACTAGTTAAAATCCCCATCAAAGCATATATATGACAAATTATGAGATGGAGCAGTATTTTCTCAGTCTTACATAAAAACGTTGTACTTCTAGATTCATAATTTCTGATCAAAATACTTAACCAATTCCCCTTATAAATATGCAAACATTTGAAGTGTAAGACATCTAAGTGCTGTTATGACGACATGACAACTACAGCTTTCTCATTATTTCCGTATAGTTGGAAGAAATTTAGAAATAAATTCGGACTGCACAGGCAGCTCCCCACTGTAGAAGCATTGGTGCAAGTCAAAGCTCAGGTGAGAACTATCTGACAGCTAAGAAGCGAAGGAGAAATGCTTCAGTTCTGAATAATCTGTGATGTTTTGTCCTTCTGCTTTGGCCACTCCTAGGAAGGCTTGCCAAAAATGTCAAGAATTCACAAGTATGCCCAACAAACAGGTTTTGTAACAACTGACCTTCTAGCTAATAAGGTTAACATGCATTACGTTGTAAACTAGTCATCAGAAACCTCTAACTCTGCCTATGGGAGCACGTAAAACCTGAGCTGGTTCTTGCCCTATGGGTGGGGCACAGATCTCCACAAGTTGGCTGGTTTGCTAGTGCAGCAGCACAGAATTGCAGCGGCATCAACCTCTGGTGTAATCCAGGCTAAGTGCTAGGAGTCACTGTGGTGCAGCTCATCTGCTGAACGAGAATCAAGAGTCCGGTGGAGCAAGAAAAAAGCATTAAATACTTGTAACAGTCTGTTCGGGCTACTATTGGACAATCCCTTTTTTTTCTTTTTCCCCCATCTCCTTCCTTTTCATCTATTAAAGTTTCTGGCATTGCCAACTGCAACAAAAGTTTAAAGTTTAAAGTGCATCTGGTCTAAATTAGTAGCACTGTAGCTATCGTAACTGTTTCACCTCTTCACCAGGAGACTTTAAAAATAACATTCATTTTCAAGTGGGAAAAAAAAAGGACAAAACATGACAGTATGTTACGGTTATAAGAAGTTCCCCAGAAGGCTCTGAGGTCACTTTCCTGTGAAAGGTACTGAAGGGTGAGGCAACCCCGTTAGCATTGGGCTAGAAGCACTATTACTATTACCATAGTTCAAGTTGTTGCCTTTTTAGTACAGACTTAAAAGTCACAAAAATATAATCAAATAATTACATTGCATCTTAATAAAGTCTGGATTTTACCAATGTTTTAACAAGTAAGCTGGGATTTACACTTCCTGGAATCATCACCCACAGTGTTATGGGTGTCAAAAAACCCGTGCACCTTTTTAGGCTGACATCTTGGTGTTAAGGAACAACAAAGGATTAACAAAAAAATTTACTGCCAGCAGAAATTGTTTACAAGGAAATAATGCCACAGCTGCTAAACAAATTGTTTGTGTTTACTACCAATTTCTCTCTGTTTATGGATTTAACAGCCATTTCAAGGTAAAAGGCTGGAAGGCCTTTTAGTCAGTCAAACTCAAGAACTACCAAAACCCTTTCCATTCTTTTCTTAAAGATGTTTCTCTTTTGAAACATTTCTTTCTTTTGAAATAAGTATAGCTTCAAATTTTTGGGGCACTGCAAGATTGACAGCCATCATTTTGGCAAAGTAAAAGCTATTAAGATAAACAATCCTATGCATACTGCTTCTGACAGTTTGGAAGAAAAAGAGCAAGAAATGGAAAACATTAAGAAAAGTATTGTAAAAATATGTAAATAGGTAAAATAACAAAATACCTACACTGATGAATCAGTCTGCAACAGCTGCTCTAACCGGTCTACCAAGATTTACCAGAACAACTCTGTAGGCTGTCAGGTGAGCTCAGGCTTCCAGATTACAGATGCACAACACATCAAGCACACTTGTAAATAGGTGTAGGCATGCCCTGAAGAGTCAGGGAGAGAAGAGAGAAAAACCAAGTGCAGCTCAGCGTATGCACAACGGGGGGAATAGCAGGCCTAGCACCAGTGCTAAACAATTCTTCAAGAGCCACGCTTGAAAAACATCAAAACTTCACACCCACCAATTTCCAGCTGTCGGTCCATTCTGCAGAGAGCCAGGACACTTCTACACACACTTGCAGTCATTTACTGCAATGCAAAGCTGCAGCAGGTTAAAACACA